AGGATTGTATGTGTGCTGTTGCTATTTTTAGATCAGGCGATATGTGTTGGAAGAAGAAGCTACCACTATCAAATGGGAGAGTGGATCCTAATCTTGAAGGAAGAGCACTTATAAAGGTTAGGAGAGGTAATGTCCCGAGAACTGCACCAGAAGTAAGAATACAGAAAGAAAATAGAGATGGTCTGATAGTAGTTGGATCAGTGCTTCTGAGTTTCTCTGTGTTCGCTAACATTTTATTGGTTAGTGCAATGTGTTTGGGTTTTTACTTCATCAATAAAAAGAAACTCAAAAGAATGCCCCATCAAGATAGTTTTGCAGAAACAAATTTGCGTTGTTTTACTTACAAAGAGCTTGAAGAAGCTACAGATGGATTCAAGGAAGAACTGGGAAGGGGAGCTTTCGGCATTGTTTACAAAGGGTTCATTAATATGGGGTCTGATATCCAAGTGGCTGTGAAAAGGTTAGATACTGTGGTCCAAGATAGTAAGAAGGAATTCAAAACTGAGATAAATGTGATCGGTCAGACCCATCATAAGAATCTGGTTCGACTGCTGGGGTTCTGTGATGATGGAGAGCATCAATTAGTTGTGTACGAGTTCTTAAGCAATGGTGCTTTATCAAGCTTTCTATTTGGAGATAATAAACCCAGTTGGAATGAAAGAATCCAGATTGCGTTTGGGATTGCTGGAGGATTACTGTACTTACATGAAGAATGTAGTACTCAAATTATCCATTGTGACATAAAGCCCCAGAATATACTTCTGGATGACTATTACAATGCAAGGATTTCTGACTTTGGGTTGGCAAAGCTTTTGTCGTTGGATCAGAGCTATACCCTTACCGCCATTAGAGGAACGAAAGGATATGTTGCCCCAGATTGGTTTAGGAACTTGCCTATTACCGTGAAAGTGGATGTGTACAGCTTCGGTGTTCTGCTGCTGGAGATCATTTGTTGCAGAAGATGTGTGGATAGCAAAGAAAGCAATGCAGACAAAGTAATTTTGGCTGAGTGGGCTTATGATTGTTACAATGAAGGAAGTTTAGATGCCCTGGTTGAACACGACATTGAGGCCATGGATGATAGGAACAAACTAGAGAGGTTTGTGATGATTGCCATCTGGTGTATTCACGAAGATCCATCTGTGCGACCCACAATGAGGCAAGTTACACAGATGCTTGAAGGAATTGTTGAAGTTCCCATTCCACCATGTCCCTTCCCATTTATGACGACTAGTTGAAACCTGCCTTTGTTTATTCTACCTTCTTGGGTCACTATTAGCAGCCACTAATAATATTTGCGGCATAATTCAAAAAAAAAAAAAAAAAAAAAAAAAAAAAAAAAAATATTATTATATAAAAAAAAAAAAAAAAAAAAAAAAATATATATATATATATGTATATGTGGGTTTTCCTTATTTCTTTTGCGGATCATTTTATCTTGAAATGACTTTATGTACAAATTTTTATTCTATTTTATGATATTAATCTCAAGTAAATATATTAAACTTCCACCAAGAGACCTCTGAGTTCATATTCTTTTAAATTACTAATTTAATGATAACTGATTGAGAGCTTTTTTTTTTTTTTAATATTGTATTATACATCTAAACACAATGACATTGATTTGGACCTAATCAATTATATCCTGTCAATGATCTTCAAGGCCATTTTTTTATTACTTTTTTTACCTAACATTTGGACTCCAAAAATGTCCTTTAAGAGATTATTTTCTTCGGTATATTAATTATCTATTTCCGTTTGCAATGGTAAAAGAGACTCAAGCACAAGATACGACCTGGTCAAGATGCTTGAGAAGAAACTTTCAATCGCTTCATTGTCGGGACAGGTTTTAGCATTCAATTACTTGTTGGAAATTTGGAACTCCATTTACACCTGCCAATGCCGTGTCTGATTGATTTGGGGACCCATTAAAGGAATAGGTTTGCCTTTGTCCTTCAAATGAATTTTCTGCAGCTTTGACTCTTCAACACACTGATGTTAATAACACCTATATAATATGTTTTTTGTTCAATAACATAAAAAAATCCACCTCAATTTCACGAATTCTCTTACCAAACTGCTCAAGCAATGGCTTCTGCTCTTTCTTGTTCTCTCTTTTTCTTGCTTTTGCTCCCTTGTTTGTCAGTAGTTGCTCAAAATAGTGGTAATATAACAGTGGATGACTCCCTTACTGCTGGTAATGGGGCACAAGCATGGATTTCTCCTTCTCAGGATTTCGCTTTCGGGTTTCACAAGCTTGAGGAAAATGATATTTACTTGCTTGCCATATGGTATAACAAAATTCCACACAAAACAATAGTCTGGTATGCAAACGGAGATAAGCCTGCACCAACTGGATCAAAGGTAGTGCTAACCTCTGATCGTGGGCTACTGCTTACTAGCCCTCAAGGAACAGAGATTTGGGCATCTGGTATCAGCACGCCAACTGCTGCCTATGGTTTGATGAATGATACGGGAAATTTCATAATAGCAAATGCGGGAGCTGAAAAGCTGTGGGAGAGCTTTGATCATCCCACTGATACTTTGTTGCCTGGACAGGTAATGGAGAGGTTATTGCCTGAGCAGAGTCTAGAGACTGGTGGCCAAGTTCTCTCTTCTAGGCTAAGGCAAAACAATTTTTCCCGTGGAAGGTTTCAGTTCCGTTTGATTCCAGATGGAAATGCTGTACTTAATGTAATTAATTTGCCCACTGGTGCTGCTTACGAAGCTTATTTTTGGAGCAACACTGTTGATTCTAACTCAACGAATAAGGGTTTAAGAGTAGTATTCAATGAGTCAGGTTACTTGTATGTCCTGAGAGCAAGCAATGAAAGGGAGCTCCTCACTCCGGCAAGAGTAGTCCCTGCTGCAGAATATTATCACAGAGTAACTCTCAATTTTGACGGGGTTATGGTTCAATATTCATATCCAAAGAATTCTACTGGAAATGGAAATTGGTCGATTGTTCGAACTATGCCGGACAATATTTGCAGTGACCTTTCTGTACGTCAAGGAACTGGGCCCTGTGGCTTTAATGGTGTCTGCCAACTAAGTCTAGATCAACGCCCAATCTGTAGATGCCCGCCAAGGTTTTCTTTACTTGACCCAAATGATGAGTATGGAGGCTGCAAACCTGATTTCTACACCCAATTATGTGAAGAAGAACTAGAAGGTGCGTCTAATTCCTTAGAAGATTATGATTTTGTGGAGCTGATAAATACTGATTGGCCAACTTCTGATTATGAGATGTATAAACCTTATAACATAGAAGAGTGCAAGAAAGCTTGCAGCCAAGATTGCTTCTGCAATGTGATTGTGTCTAGAGAAGACAATTGCTGGAAGAAGAAGCTGCCACTCTCAAATGGGAGACAAGATGACAGTGTCATGGGAAGAGCTCTCATCAAAATAAGGAAAAGTAATTATACAATAAGAGGACCTCCTCTTCCATTCCCCAACGCAAAGAAGGACCAAGACAGTTTGCTTATTGCTGTGTCTGTCCTCTTAGGTGGCTCTGTGTTTGTCAACTTCATACTAGTTGGTGTTGTGAGTTTTTACTTTTTCTTCCTTTACCAAAAACAATCCTCAAGGACCGAAAGAGTTGCAGAATCCAATTTACGCTACTTCAGCTATAAGGAACTTATGGAAGCAGCAGACGGCTTCAAAGAAGAGCTAGGAAGAGGATTTTTTGGCATTGTTTATAAAGGGCAAATAAAAATGGGCAGTAATAAAGTCCCTGTTGCAATCAAGAAATTGGATAGAGTAGCTGAAGACAATGACAAAGAATTCAAGACTGAAGTTGATGTGATTGGCCAAACACACCATAAGAATCTAGTCCAGCTTGTAGGATTTTGTGATGAGGGAAAACACAGGCTGCTGGTATACGAGTTTTTGAGCAATGGAACATTAGCTAATTTTCTTTTTGGAGATATTAAACTTAGTTGGTACCAAAGAACCCAAATAGCTTTGGGGATTGCAAGAGGACTTTTGTACTTACATGAAGAATGCAGTACTCAAATCATCCATTGTGATATAAAGCCTCAAAATATTCTTCTTGATGACTATTATGATGCGAAAATTGCTGATTTTGGACTTGCAAAGCTAATGGTGTTAAATCAGAGCAAAACATTTACAAACATTAGAGGAACAAAAGGGTATGTTGCAGCAGAATGGTTTAGGAACATCCCAATTACAGTTAAGGTTGATGTGTACAGTTTTGGGGTGTTATTGTTGGAGATAATTTGCTGTAGAAGAAATGCAGATACAGAAATAAGTGAAGAGAGAGCAATTCTCACTGACTGGGCTTATGATTGCTATGCAGAAGGCAAAATAAGTGCTTTAATTGAAGATGATGATGATGAAGCCTTGAAAGATGTGAAAAAGCTTGAGAGGTTTGTGATGGTTGCAATTTGGTGCATTCAAGAAGATCCCAATTTAAGACCAACGATGAAGATTGTGATGCTGATGCTTGAAGGTATTATTCAAGTTCCAGTTCCACCATGTCCATTCCCATTTAGCATAGTTAGTTAATAAAAATGTTTTTTTTTGCAGATTGTAATCTTTTTTAAAATGCTTTGTAGTTAGTTTATGGTTTCGCGTTGGTGATATATATATGTTTCGCGTGGGTGAATATATATATATATATATTAATATATATATAATATAATAATTTTTTTTGTCTATGAACCCGCTTTGGATAAAAAAAAAAAAAATGTAACTTTAAAGCATCAAGGTTGTCTAATCTGTTGACTTGGTGTTCCCGCCAAATATATCATTCGCTTGATAAAAAAAAAAAAAAATGTAACTTTAGCATCAAGGTTGTCTAATCTGTTGACTTGGTGTCCCAAATATATCATTTTATAAAAAATTATTTATCTTTTAGAGTCGTACAAAATTTAACTTTAAATCTACATTTCCTTGAATTGTATTACAATTTGTTATTAATTCTTGCTTGTTTTAGTAAATATATTGTTGGATATTCTCTTCAAGCTGGTTTGTTCATTATTTATGGAACATAATAATCAAACTCAAGTAAACTTGAGAATAGCGGTCAATATAAAATTCAGGAGGCCAAGGTCAGAGAGTGCGGCCTTCTATTACAAGTCAAGCAGACCTTGACCTATACAATAAGAAATTCCATGTCTTGTGCATCCAGAATACCATTTTTCTACGAAGTCATTTTTTATTGGAGAAATTTGTTCTGATTTAAATAAGAAACCAAAGTAGCAGTGTTTTACCTGCAGAAACCAGCATAGGACTTGCTCAGGGTATCTGGGTTGAATTCTTCCATTTCTTTTAACATATTCCATTCTGTCATATTGATAACCTTTTAGCAAATCCCCAAAGAAAAATTTCTCTGGGATGTCATGGATTTTGTGCTACCTTTTTCATCTCTGCCCTCTGTTTCCTCTCCTACTACTGACAGAACCCTTTTTAGCCACTGCTCAATCCTTCAAAAACATATCTTTAGGTGCATCCCTCACTGCATTGAATGATAACAGTTCCTGGTCGTCACCGTCGGGTGAATTTGCCTTCGGTTTTCAGCAAATTGAAACTGATGGCTTCCTACTAGCTATCTGGTTCGACAAGATACCTCAAAAAACAATTGCCTGGTCTGCTAATAGAAATAATCTAGTGCAAAGAGGCTCCGAAATTAAGCTCACTGAAGATGGCCGATTAGTTCTTAATGACCCAAAAGGCAAACGGATATGGAACGCTGATACTGCTGGACGCAGACCTGCCTATGCAGCCATGCTCAACGATGGAAACTTTGTGCTTGCATATGATGGTACGGAAAATTTGTGGGAGAGCTTTGGTGAACCAACTGACACCATATTGCCCACACAAACTTTAACTCAAGGAAATAAACTCATTTCTCATTACTCAAGCACAAATTATTCAACTGGAAGATTTCTTTTTACACTACAATCTGATGGTGATCTGAAGCTCTATACAACTTATTTCCCACTGGCTTCTCCTAACTTTGGTTATTGGTCATCTGAGACTGTTAACAGTGGCTTTCAGGTGATCTTCAACCAGTCTGGAGAAATTTACCTTGAAGCAAAAAACAAAAGCATACTTGTGATGTTGTCTGCAAGTGTACCTTCAACTCAAGACTTTTATCATAGAGCAATTCTGGAATATGATGGAGTTTTCAGGCATTATGTCTACCCAAAGGACCCTAGTCTCCGTGTCGCTGGCGGGCCTATGAGGTGGTCCCCTGTATCATTCACGCCTGTAAACATCTGCTTGAAAATTAGAGAAGAAAAAGGCAGTGGAGCTTGTGGGTTCAATAGCTACTGCGTTCTAGATGATGACCACAGACCAAATTGCAGATGTCCGCAGGGTTATACCTTCTTGGATCCAGATGATGTGATGAAGGGATGCAAGCAGGACTTTGTTTCACAGAACTGTGAAGAGGCATCACTAGAAGTGGATCTATTCTATATGGAAGTAAAGGAAAACACGGACTGGCCATTATCTGATTATGAGTACTTTAGAATAGTAACTGAGGATTGGTGCAGAAAGGCTTGCTTGAGTGATTGTTTCTGTGCTGTTGCCATTTTCAGAGATGGTGAATGTTGGAAGAAGAAAATTCCCCTATCAAATGGCAGGTTTGATTCCACAGATGGAGGAAAAGCTCTTATAAAAGTTCGAAGAGACAACTCTACTTTGAAGCCTGATGATGAAAATTCATCAAGAAATAAAAATCATTCAACTTTGATCATCATTGGGTCGTTGCTGTTAAGTAGTTCATTGTCTCTTAACTTTCTTCTACTGCTAGGAGCTCTTCTGGCTGTTTTCTGCTTTGGTTATGGAAAAGCAAAGAAGCTTCAATTAGAGGGAACCATGCAAGGAATAAACCTGCAAAGTTTCACTTACAATGAATTAGAAAAAGCCACAGATAAATTCAAGGAAGAAATTGGCAGGGGTGCTTTCGCAACAGTCTATAAAGGAGTACTAGGATTTGATAATGCACTTCTGGTCGCAGTTAAGAAATTGCACAACATGGTGGGAGAAAATGATAAGGAATTTAAAGCAGAAGTGAGAGCAATTGGCAGAACAAATCACAAGAATTTAGTGCACCTAATAGGATTCTGCAACGAAGAAGAACACCGCCTTTTGGTATACGAGTTCGTAAGAAATGGAAATTTAGCAAATTTTCTATTTGGAAATTCAAGACCCCATTGGTACAAAAGAAAGCAGATTGCTTTTGGAATTGCAAGAGGACTCTTCTACTTGCATGAAGAATGCAGCACTCAGATCATACATTGTGACATTAAACCTCAAAACATTCTTCTTGATGACTCATTTACTGCAAGAATTTCTGACTTTGGAATAGCCAAGCTATTGATGACAGACCAGACTCGAACAACAACTGCAATTAGAGGAACCAGAGGTTATGTAGCCCCTGAATGGTTCAAGAACTTGCCTGTCACAGCCAAGTTTGATGTCTACAGTTTTGGCATTCTGCTTTTAGAGCTGACCTGCTGCAGGAAAAATTTTGAAGCAGAGGTGGAAGATGAAAATCAGATGGTACTAGCCGACTGGGCTTATGATTGCTACAAGGGAGGGGAATTGTACCTGCTAATACAGAACGATGAGGAGGCAAAGCAAGACATAAAGAGGGTTGAGAAGTTTGTGATGATTGCAATCTGGTGCATTCAGGAGGATCCATCTCTAAGACCTGCAATGAAGAAAGTTACACAGATGCTGGAAGGAACAGTGGAAGTTTCTGTTCCTCCAGATCCATCATCATTTATGAGTTCAATTGGATCCCTCTGAAATATTATTCATAGATTGATTATTAGTTTTTTTAATTTAGTTGGTCTAAATTACTATCAATGCTTTCTTCAGGTGACTAAGAAATGGAAGTGGACAGTCAATCAAACGTAAATTGCAAGATTACGCTTTGCTTGTTCTTGGTTCAGGTAGTCCGTTTATTTGTAGTTTCTTGGACAACATTTTTTACTTATTTATTTATTAAAAGGTCCACAAACATAAAATTCTACCAAAGTTTGTGGTTGAACAACATTGCTGTTGGACCACGAAACAGAAAACACCCTTCTCTCTCTCCTCCTCTTTCTTTCTCCCTTTCGTACCTTTTTTTCTTTTAAAAAAATATTTTTAATGTTTAAAGTATTTAGAAAAATTAACCAATTGAAAATATTTTCTTAATAAAAAAAATTTGAATCATTTGAAGGAAAATAATGTCATTCTACATAGTTCATTGTGAAATTAATCCTTTTTTATCAGTTTAAATTAGCAAAAGGATTAGACGATGGAGCCAATTGAGGAGTAAGGACCAAGTCAAAGTAAAGCATAAAGAGAGTGGCCACGTTAGGGATAAGATTTTTGACTTAATGCAAAGGGTAAATTTTGTTTGGTAGATAAGGGCAGTTACAATTACATGATGCCTCTCTCTCTCTCTCTCTCTCTCTATTTCCTTATTCCCATTTTTAGCATGAAAAATATCTAAAAAAATTTTTTAATTTTTCTTTTTAATTCCAAAAAATTGAAAATCACAGACAGGGTATTAACAGTGGAACCCAAGTGTTTAATTGCATTGTTTTTGAGTAGAAATAGACAACTATATATTACTTTCTCTTTTTCTATTCAATAATTCTTGTCATATTTTTCTTTCTCATCCATCGTAAATTGTTGTCGTATTTTATTTTGATGAAATAAATAATATTTGAAGGATATATTAGGATATCAATATAAGGATATGTTAGGAAAAACAAGCAAAAATTATAATTTAATTTAACTCATTTTTCTTAATGTGTGCAAGTTAAATCTGTACAAAATTATGAGACGGGATGAAATATATATTTTTATACATGTTTTTATTATTTAGTTTTAATCGTTCGGTGTTGTCTGAAATTCACTAGTCCAACTAATCCAAAATCACGCCGAGCAAGTATACAAATCAGGTAAAGCGCTCCCTCCCAAGATATTGTTATTATTACTTATAGTGACACCTTCGTTTGCACAGAGCTTATGTTCTAACCAACGTGTTAATTATAGATACTTATTTAACATGATTAAATGCTTTGTTAAAATGTAAGGATAGTAATCAATTGAGTTGCTTAATCCATCAAAAGTATACTTTTTTTTCAAGGCTTGCAATTATGACAAAAATAAAAACTTAATTTTTAAGTTAATAAAATTGTTTCCTAATATATTCATGCATGTATGGCATGATATAAACTTGTACATAGTGGCGGAGACACGGCTGGTGGCGGGAGGTGGCCCCGCTCCTACCTCCATTTTTTTCAATCCTATAAAATATTAAAAATATATTTTTATTTTTTAATTTAACCCCTTAATTAATATTTATTTTTTTACCTTCGTAATATTGAATCTTAGCTCCATCACTACTTGTGGTTGTGGAGTAGGGGATTTAGTCATAAAATAAAATACAATATAGTAAAGAACAAAAATTACAAAAAAAAAAAAAAACCCTTTCAAATTTTCACAATTAATTAAAAATCGAAACATTTTCATCGTTTTAAACTCTCTTGGAGAGACCAACGAATGTCGTGATAATAATAAAATTCAAAGTTAAATATACTTTGAAAATTCTTTTTGTAAAATAATTTGAATAGCTAATTAGGTTTAAATTTCAATTTTATTTTTAATGAATTAAATACTCGAGTTTTTTACTGCTAACTAAAAACCCGATGATTTTTATTTTGAAAAATTGGTATTATGCATTAATTTTATCCCACGTTGAGGTTTGAGGGGTTGAGGGTCAGGCAAGGAGTTAAGCAGAGATGACAGGAGTATCCTCTACTTATTAGTTGTTGCACAGTTACACTTTGCTCACTTACCACACTGCCCTTACAATTCAATATTCTTACACACATTAACACTCAGATACACATATATTACTAATTTACACTTCGAGCACACAGTTTACAGAGTCGCAAAGGCCTATCAACAAATATCTCTTCACGCTTCTTAGCTCCCTCCTTCTCCCTTTCTTTCTCTCTTTGTGTATTTCTGTCTCTTTTTCTCTGTGTAGGTGGTTTCATTTGGCTATGTTTTTCTGGGGGCCACGCCTTTAGTACTTTATGCAAATCCTTAATATCTTCGAATCTCGATGTTTCTTGATCTGGGTATCAAGTGTTTCTTCTTTAGATCATTATTTTAGACTTTAAAAATCTTTACTTTTGTCCATCAGCAGGGAAGAATCCAACTGGTTCTTGGTCTTTTTTCAGTTTTGTTTGTTTTCTTAACAGATTCAGAGTAATGGGTCTCTTGTTGAGGATGCAAATAAGCTTTTTCCAAAACCAGGTTAGTTTCTTTTCTTTCTTTTATTTGCATATTTTGATAGGAGCATTTGTTTGGTGGGGTATTTGTATTGCTTTTGGCTTTTGGTTTTTTCGGTTTTGAGCGTTGAAGCTAATTGAGTTTGTTTTGATTGTTAGTTCAGTTCTACTCAATCCTTTTATTTTGAAACTGAGAATTGCGATGCTTTTATTGGATCTTACTTTGAATAAGTTTATGGAGCTTGCGCGTGGCTTCAGAAGTACATGATTGTGGTTTGTTTCTTTTGTTCATTGTTTTCCATCATATCAAATTACTGATCCCTAATTTGAGTTGCTAAAAGGATGCACCTTTTCTTCCTTAATTGCAGTTTTTCTGTGATTTAGGATGCTGCCTTTCCGGCTATTGTTAGTAATTTTAGTATATGTTTTCAGTTTTTGATTGTAATTTCGTAAACATCAAAACGTTGTTTATGCTTTGATTGGCTTCTAGACTTCTATATTTCTAAACATTTATGTGAGAAGAAGAGAAGTTATTTATTATTTATTCCAAAGAATTCACTTATTGGGTTTTCTGAAAATAAAGCCTCAAGTAGACTCATCTGAACACTGTCATTAAGTTATATCAAGTTGAGTATTTCTTCTTTTGAGTTCATAATAAATAGAAACAGTTTTTGATTGTAATTTCGTAAACATCAAAACGTTGTTTATGCTTTGATTGGCTTCTAGACTTCTATATTTCTAAACATTTATGTGAGAAGAAGAGAAGTTATTTATTATTTATTCCAAAGAATTCACTTATTGGGTTTTCTGAAAATAAAGCCTCAAGTAGACTCATCTGAACACTGTCATTAAGTTATATCAAGTTGAGTATTTCTTCTTTTGAGTTCATAATAAATAGAAAATCAAGACACTGATCTGAAATTTTGTCCTTTTGTTTTCTCTTGGCACAAACAAGGTAAAGTTAATGTTTTTATCAATAGATGGGTGGTTAGACACTTATATATATTAACTGGTGCCTTTTCTTTATTTTTTCTCTTTATGAGGTGCTGATGAAATGGGTTATTGCCTTTTGGACATACCTGTTTTCTGTAATGAAGTATTGAATTGAAAAGGAATCATCTTAATTTAAGCATATAAAAGAAATGAAATCATGCCTCCAGTTGTAACTTCAATCCCAAAAATGGTGCTAAACGCACACAAGCTTTTATTCTTGCAAAACCTGAATGATAGTTTGTATTTTGTAATATGTCAGATTTTAAGCACGAGGGTACTCTCTCTCTCTCGCTTCAGTGAAAAGTGTATTTATCATTTATCATGCTTCCTGTTTAAAATTGCATTCTGAAAATTTTGTGTAAATTAATATCTTAGCATTTTCTTTTCTTCCTTTTTGGTTTGACAGAAATATTCTTTGTCCGTATGAGTTGTTCTTTCACGTTATTGTAAAGTTATGGGTAGAGGTAGAGGAAAGGGAAAAAAATTGACTGTTAGCAATCATGAGGATCCTGGAAGTGGTGAGGAAGAGAAAATTCCTGCACAAAAGAGAAGAGGAAGGCCTCAAAAACCATTGAAGGATGATATTGATGAAGAAGAAGTTGAAAAAATAGAGGAGGAAGATGGAGAGAATGGAAAAACAGGGATTACAAGCAAAGAGATAAAAAGTCCAATAGCAGCAGAAAATGGAAAGAAAAGGAAGCGATACTCACAAGCAAAGGAGAAGCCTGATTCAGTTAAGGAAGAAAATGGTGTTACTACCAGATCAAGTACTGATGATTCCACTAAATCAAATGGATTCCGGCATAACGGAAGCAGGCGGAAAAACAAGCCTCGACGAGCTGCTGAGGCAGGTGTTGAATGCAAATGATGATTGGCATGACTTTACGTGGGTCATTTATGATGGGTCTCTTGTTTTGACTTGCTGGATGAATTACAAGATTGGACGTGAGGCCTAGTAAATCTCTAGTTCCACATTGTTTTTTGGTTTATTATTTTGAAGATCTTTTTGGCAACTTTCAATTGTTAATTCCTTTTCATTTTCATTGGGAGTTTTGAAACGTATTTGCTGCCTGTAATTTTTGATAATATTATTATGTTTTATATTATCACTAATATTTCATATCAAGTGATTTACATAACATGCTGTTGGTTTATTGCTTCAGCTCTAGAATTATGTCTGTTTTGATTGCTTTCCATGAATATTGAGTATGCAACTGATGGTTTGGATAGCACCATCAAATTTATAATCCTAGTGCTCCTTGTTCAAACTCTTGTGGAGCATAAGTGGTAGGTGAGTCTGCGCTCTCTCGAAAATTTATCCTCCTTTATTTGTTACAGTTATGCATGTTATCCAACGATTAACTAGCTGCTTGGAGACATAGAACTATGAAGTCTGCAAATATCTATCTTGTGTGTGGTATTGACTGATGAACTGTGTTTCTGACACTGTTGTCATATTGATTGATAGGTTTGCATGCATTACATTATTTTTTGTTTGCCATCCAGTTCCTTGATATATTGTAGTTCAGTTATCTTTACTTTGTCTACTGGTTCTATAGCTCCTTAATTATGTCTGATTGATTTCTTTAATTTTCCTTAGCAAAGGGGACATGCCGTAATAGAGATGTTTCTGTTTATTATTATCTTCTTTGTTTAAGAATTTGCACAGCTTTCTATTTGAGTTATGATCTTGTACTACTTTATTCTGGAGTACTTTTAAGGTTGAAAAGCTCGATTGGAAGGAATTGTCCATCAGAAGCTTCAATTGAAAGTCAGATATAAGGGAAAATGAAGCTGAGGAGCTTGAACAGGTCAGTTGAAAACCATAGGCATCTAACTAAATATTTGAACTTTTTATTGTTAATGGTTGATGAAGAGAAGCACAAAATGGAACATGGATAGTACGGATGATTTCACTATTTGTTGAGAGTTTCCAGCTGCCAGATATGAATATGATTCTAGATATTAAGATATATAACCTAATAGCTGACCTTCATTCTTCAAAATTATTCCCTGAGGCTAAGGATAAGATTGCTGAAAACTAATGATTTTTTTTATGTCTCTTTGGATAGTGCTAGTAAGGGTTTTGGTGCTTTGATGATGCTTTTTGGTTTGTACTTTGTCTAGTTGTCTAGTTGTCTTTGCGGTTTCAAACAGGAAAAAGAAATTCATTGAGGAATTTTATCAAACAAATTGCGTTCTACCACAGCAACTAATCATTTTGACTTTGAGCGAGAACACTGCATTGCTGGTAGTCAAACTATATCGAAAACTACACTACAACCCAAGAACTCCAGTTTTGAAAAACTTATGGGTATAAGTTAGGAAGATAAACAAACTCAAACCTAACTTTTTCAAATACTACAATCAATGAAATAGATTCTGAATCAATAATGTTTAAACTTTAAAAAATGGCAAGTGGTTACTAGTGAAGCACCTAACCGCCAAGGTAAGCATTAATGAAGGCACATGAAAAAAAAAAAAAATACAAATCCAAATAAATATTCCAAATTTTCATGTGACTGTCTTACGTTTCTTCTATCGTTGTAAAATAAAAAGCTTTTGGATCCAACTCGCCCACTATGCGTACTGGATAGCACTTTCACTTCTAAGAGCTATTCTTGTTCTTTGTATTCTGAACTGTCATATTGTTGAAGCTCATCAGGTTGATAAGAAAAGCTTCCAGTAGTAAATGATGGTTGATGATCTTGAATGGCGCCCATCTTCAACAGTGCCTTTCCAAGGCAAAGGCAATGATGATCATCGGTTAAGGGGTGAAGATGAAGACGGTAAGAGAGAGGGAATAAGTCCAGAGAAAGAAAGACGCCCGCTTGTCTGACTGTATCTGCTGCGTGTAAAATTGGGCTTATTTATTGTACCCAAGTCCGTTATTACTCTAACGAACTTGTAAAACAGACCAAGTATTTATGCAATTATATTATTATTATTATTATTATTATTATTATTATTATTATTATATTAGTGTATGTATATATAAAATAACTAGGTATTATGCTCAAATAAAAACAAGCCTTTTACATTTATCTTCCAAAAATAAATAAATTTAAAAGGAGTTTAATCAAATGTGAAATTAATTAATAATTGCATTCATCTCAAATTAAAAGAAAAAGGAAATATAACTATTTAATTAGTTTGGTTTATTGTATTATATTATTGATATCTTATTGCTTGTTTAAGTTCATCCTCTCACTTCGGTTTAAAAAACAAAAAATTTGAAATTTAAGAATGACATTATACACTATGTCTGTCTCAAAAGGACCTAAAAATTTCAATTTCGGGAACACGAATATCCTCTGAATGCTAAGAGTATTGTACATTGGCCCATGAGTTTTGTTAGTACTATGGCCATGGGCCAATTTCTCGGATTGGGCTTGGTAAAAGCCCAATAACTTAAACTTCACCCCCCTTGCTGGAACTGACAAACTATAATACTTATTACATTTGGAATTTCACATTTCTTAAAAAAATTATTAAATTTATTTAAGTTACAATAAATTATTATTTAAATTCACCGTATTACCCTTAATTTAATGCTAATACTCTAAAAAAACCAGTAAATTGAAGTAATAATTATCAATCATATACAAAAAATAAATATAGAAAAAAAATATTTATTACTTCTTGAAATCACAAATGTGATAAGTATTTTGGAACAAAGCGAACTATTTTCTCAAATGTGACAAGTATTAAGAAACAGAGGTAATATAAAACAGGTCGCTTGATTTTTTCTTGCTAGGATATTTAAGGGCGATCATTACCCATCTATAGAATAAACAAATTAAATAAAGTATTTTCTATAAAATATTCTAATTTTATTTTTTTCAATTATATAATTAAAAATATCGTCGTTTTAATAAAAATATTAAATTTTATTGATTTGGTTGCGAAGAAAATGACGAGTCTTTCTTATTTCTTATAAAGATGTAATGATTTTTTGTTTGTACCCTATATAACATCATCAACCCATATATATGTATATATATATATATTTTTTTGTTTTAGTCAACAAATATTATTTATATTGTCAAAACTTGATTAGAATAACTTTTCCTCTTACTACATGCAAAAAGAAAACAAGTAATGACAAATGGTCTAAGGTATGAGGTGGCAATATTAGCAGAAATAGACCTTAATTTAGTCAAATTAATATAATCATATTAAGATTACAACGGCATCATAATTGTCCAAATCTAATTAATAATTAGTTGTCATTTATCATATTTGCGCATTCAATTAAATAACAAATAAACCAAATTTAATAAATATCCTAAGGGGTGGAGACCATGATCTCTTGTTTTTATTATAAAATCGTAATTGGATCGTAGCGTGGACCTTGCCCTCCGATCCAAGTGGAAAATACAGGATTGCCGTTCAAGCACGTTTTTTTAATTTATTTTGTTTTATTTACTCTTTTTTTTTTATTGTCCTCTCCTCCTATATTAATTGGTTTGAATGATTATATCTCTCTGTCTCCTCTAAAAAATGATATTTAATAAATATCTAAGATATTAATTTAAATGAAAAAATATGGAATCAATTTTTTACTTTTTATAAATATAAAATTTTAAATATAATTATTATATAAAATACATCATAAACAGACAAATTTCAAATACTAATATTTTTCTTTTTATTAGAATTTTTAATTTTTACGAAGCAAAAGGAGAAAAGAATATGAAATAGAAAATTCATGGCCACAATTAACTTAATCTTATGTTGAAAAAGTAAATTGGATAAAATATATTATTTGTTCTATGAGTCCCTCGACTCTAAATATAGAGAGGAGAAATGAAATGAGAGGGGGTAGTCTTGTGCAGCAAATCAAAGATGAGAATCCAAAAGAATCAAAACTACTTTTTGCTTAGCCTCCTACTTGTTCTTGGCTCAGTGACTAGCAATGCAGTATCTGTGGAATCCAGATACGATACCGTTTCATTTAATCGTAGCAGTTTTCCAGTAGGTTTCCTTTTTGGAACAGCTTCATCGTCTTACCAGGTTAGTTTTCGGTGTTTCCGAACTCTCTCTCTTTCTCTCCGGCTTAATTATGATATTAGCAGAATAGCTTTTAGCCCTAATTGTGCCGTTTAGGTCTGTTCTTTTTCACCAAAACAAAAGAAAAGAAAAGTTAATATATTGAGATGCTAAAACACTAATTTGGCAGTATGAAGGTGCAGCGAATGAAGGGGGCAGAGGACCAAGTATTTGGGATACTTACACGCACAGATATCCAGGTCCCTCTTCCTTCTATCTTATAATAATAACTAAAAATGGAAAAACAAATTGTTTATTTCTTTGATCGAGGATTAATGGATTAAATCATAAATTGTTTGTATATTTTCTTCGGTTTGGATCATTCTATTGTTCATTGTCCCCATTTTGCCCATAAGATTTAGGAGTTCAGATGTTATATGGGTTTATTCGGTTTTCTAACAAATAAAAAAAACTAAAAATTTATTGTGTTCACAGGAAAACTGTGTCTTTTTCTACTTTGTTCTATACAGTAACAGACGTGATGTATGATCCGTAATCAATTATCATGTCTGCCATGTGCTTCTATATATGTGTCTTGATATAGGACTGTACTAGTGTTGAAATTACATATTTTCCTCTTCTTAATTATTGTCCCTATTTCTAGATGTTGGCTGCTATTTTTTAAATATTAGATTAAATTAATTTGTGGACTGACTGTTTTTCTTTTAAATATAATATTAGTTTTTTTTAATTAATGTTAACTATGTTGATAATTATAAATATATTATAAAATGTAATGGTGGTTTGATTTTAAATTACAGGTAAAATAAAGGATGGGAGCAATGGAGATGTGGCTATCGATGCATATCATCGATACAAGGTAAAAAGGAAAAACAAAAGGTCCCAACTTTGCTTTTTGGACTCTCTCATATTTTTTATTGTCAATTTAATTAATGTTACAGGAAGATGTTGGGATAATGAAAGAGATGGGCTTAGATGCTTACAGATTTTCTATTTCATGGTCTAGAATTTTACCAAGTAAGATTGGTTGTCCTTAAACAAGTTGGAATAGTTGTAATTATGGATTTTGAGATCTAATATCTATTAATTGAAATAAAATACTACATTTCAGAAGGGAAGCTAAGTGGAGGAGTGAACAAAGAGGGAATCAAATACTACAACAACCTCATCAATGAGCTTTTAGCCAATGGTTGTGCTTTAATCTCATAATAATTTAATTATTTATTTTATCACCCGTGTAATGTAATTATTATTTATTATTGTTGTTTCTTAATTTGCCGTAAATATCAATGTATAAGTGCACGTGCAGGTATTCAACCCTTCGTCACTCTCTTCCATTGGGATCTTCCTCAAACCTTGGAAGACGAATATGGTGGTTTTCTTAGCTCTAAGATTGTGTAAGTTAACCAAGAAACGAATACATTTTTATTAACTATTTGAAACAATTTAGTGTGGTAATTTTACTGGTTAATATTTTGGGAATGTAAAGGAAAGATTTTGAAGAGTATGCGGGTATATGCTTCGAAAACTTTGGAGACAGAGTGAAACATTGGATAACACTGAATGAACCCTGGAGTTTGAGCAGTGGTGGATATGCATTAGGCATTTTAGCGCCGTTTAGATGTTCAGATTGGCAGAGATTGAATTGTACAGGCGGGGATTCAGGAACTGAGCCCTATATTACAGCGCACAACCAGCTTCTTGCTCATGCCGCTGCTGTTAAATTGTACAAGACAAAGTATCAGGCAACTCAGAAAGGCATCATCGGAATTACCTTAGCGTCTAACTGGTTTGTGCCTTTCTCGAAAGCGAAGAATCAACAAAATGCTGCAAAACGAGCCCTCGATTTCATGTTTGGTTGGTATGTATATATTCTTTCAAACGCTCAATAATTAAATCATTTGTAGAATGTTAAATATGTCGAAATAATATTACTGAGTTATAAATCAAGAATACTCCTTCCCTTCTAATAATAGGTATTGTTGCATTGTTGAAATTTCCTTTAAAAATGTTTTATTGTAGGTTTATGGAGCCAATAACATATGGTGACTATCCACACACACTAAGGTCTCTTGTCGGGAACCGATTACCCAAATTTACAGAAAAGCAATCCGAAATGCTAAAAGGGTCGATCGATTTTCTTGGGTTGAACTATTATACTGCTAATTATGCAGCCTATGTTCCTTTTTCTAATGCTATTAATGCTAGCTATCTTTTTCTAATGCTATTAATGCTAGCTATTTAACTGACGTTCGTGCTAAACTTTCATGTAAGCTCAGATTATCTTCACTAATCACCTTTTTGTTCTTTCCAAATTTTACAGCCAAACATAATTAACAATCCCTTGATTTTTTCTTGTGTATGCAGCTGAGCGTCGTGGGATTCCAATTGGTCCTAGGGTGTGCTAATGCTATGCCTCAACTCAGAATAATTAATAATTAATAATCAAATCAAAATACTTAATGAGATAATTACCACTATTTCTTTGCAGGCAGCTTCAGACTGGCTCTATGTTTATCCGAGAGGAATTCGAGATCTTTTTGTACACGAAAGAGAAATACAGGAATCCCCTTATTTATATAACTGAGAATGGTAAATATATAATTAACTATTTTATATAATTAACTATTTTCATTTCAGCATTAATGCAATAAAAGAAAATCAAAATGTTTATTTTTCTTTGTAGGTATTGACGAGTTCAATAATGGCACACTAACACTAGAAGAACAGCTGGTTGATCATATGAGAATCGATTACTACTATCGCCATCTTTCTTTCCTTAGAAAAGCAATCGAGTAAATGCTTAATTAAATATTAATTACCTCATCAATTTGTTTCTCGTTTTTTTTTTTTTTTTTTTTTTTATGTAATTAGAGATGTTTAAAGTTAATTAATTTGTTGATGTGGCCGTGCAGAGATGGTGTGAATGTGAAGGGATATTTTGCATGGTCATTACTGGATAATTTCGAATGGAGTTCAGGTTATACTGTGCGATTTGGCATCAACTACGTAGATTATAAAAATGGGTTGAAAAGATATCCCAAGCTTTCTGCTCGCTGGTTCAAGAAGTTTCTCAGGAAATAGAGCATTTCTATGTATAATGTTTTTTTTACTCCTTCCGTTTCATTTTGTTTGCATGGTTTGACAATACCCGCATATTAAGAATTTAGTCGATAAAAGTTATTTTGCTTTTTTTACCCTTAATTCATGAAGATATTAATAAAAGTCTTTCATGTAATGAACAATCATAAAGGTTATCGTGGAAAAATAATTATTTACATATCTAGATTTAAAAATCTTAAAAACATTTTGAAACATTCAAAAAAAGAATAATAAAGAAATGAAATAGGACGGAGAGTATATTATTTTTCACTAATAAATTGGAGGATAATTATACTTTCATACATAATTTCCTTCAATTAAATGAGTAATTAATTATTTAGTCCTTAAATTTTGTTATAAATTCCATTTAAGTATAATAAAATAATAATAATATTTATACAGCTATTAAAATAACTACTAAATTGTCACGACCCATTTTCGTGGGCCGGACCGGCACTAGGACTTGGGTGGGCTTAAGGCCCCCGAAGCCCGTAGTAAGCCTAACTTATTCCAATATTTGACATTCTACAAATATTTATGGATTCAGGCCCATTAACTTATTATATATATGCATTCAAAATACAGTTCATATATTTAAAATGAACTTTCATTATTTAATTACAACCCAACTGGAATACAATTGCGGAACCTACCTTTGTATTTACATCGTTATTCTATCCATTAACAGTCTTTCTACAAATAAGGTGTCTCAACTCCACAAGGCTTTCTTTCATTTTTATTTACCTGGAAAAAAAAAAAATAGTAGGCAGGGGTGGAGCGCCAAACTCAATGAGTAGGGCGTTAGATAACCCTTCTCACCCCACACAATCACACAGGATGCAAATATTTATCTACGTTACCGTTAATTATATGATCTGCAGTTTGTCACACAAATGGCAATTACACAGCAATCACAAGTTATTCATCACCTTTCATATAATCACATCACGTGGGAAATTAAACAGTCATGGACACCACCTGAAACCCCAACGAGCCGTCCTCAACACATGGCTCGCCCTTCTCTACATGGTGCACCAGGGAGACCGATCCCCCCATACGGCCAACTTGTTCTTATCCTCAACTGACCAGTCCTCTCATTGTTTCTTTCCATTCTCTCTTTTCTTTCCATACCAACAGGAGGCAAACTCGGTGGTCTCCATCCAATCTAGATCGATCAAGTGCTCACAAACAGGAGGCCACCCTGCGGCTACAATCAAATCTAGATTATCAGGTGCCAACAACAAAGAGGCCATCCTGTGGTTCTATATTAATCCAATTAATCATCAGGTGCACACTGGGGCGCCGATCTCCCCATTTCCGGCCGTACGGTCACAATTTCATATCATATTCATATTCAGGATCCATATCACATAGACCGTCCTCACAAACCCATGGTGGCCCACTTCATCCCAATTTCCACCACAACAAGGCACAGTATATACAACAAGCACAAGTAATCACAATAATTATTTAATATTTCAACCAATTTAGTGCAGCACCAATATGGCAATTCAACAAATTAATGCATGATAGCATTTTAGCCGTGAATGCATGAATGGCAGGCGGATGATACTAGTTATCTAACACTACTTCACAGTTCTTTATTGTCCTAAAAGGACTGCCTTTTTAGCCACATGCTTCCAGCTTTTGTCCTCGCATTTTTGTATCTTATAAACCTTTAAAATAAACAAGAAAATTCTAAATAAGAATTTTAATTCAAAAACTTCTATTTCACATTCGTTTATTTATTTCGGTTATCGGTCATTTAATTCACTTGTTATATATGCATATATATCTGGCTTTTCTCATTTATATAAATAACTATTCTAAATTTTTCTACGTAATCTACTATCGATATTAATTTCTTTTTTTTTTTTGTTTTTCTACCGAACTCTATTTTATTTTCTACCGAAATTTCGACAGCATCTCCCCTAAAAATTGGACTATCTACCTGTTAAAATATCAACAATTTCACAACTTCATTAAGTTTTTATTAAAAATTCGGGCAACATTTCTCTATTAAACTGAATATCCCAAATTTTTCATATTTTCACAAATCCACACACACAGCCCATTCCATCGGGGCAATTCATATCCCACTAATCTCGGTCCCGGCCATATCGTCATTATCGGGTCACTTAAATTCACATAATTCCATTATAATTAATGTTCTATAACTATTTATTTTGTTTTAATACCTTAAAATTATTATTAGCTAGGAATTATATATATATATTTTTGTACAACCTTATAGTTATACTTAATATTTAGTTAATTCAATAAGTTAATATCTTGTTATTCAATTTAGTCTATTTAATAACTCGATTAAATTCATTAGTCAATTAATTCTTTATATATATAAAAATTAAGAATTTAATCTTAGAACATACCCATTGGGAATCGGGCGACAATTCCATGATCAGCGCGAAGAGAAGAGGATTCTGTCTCTCGGGGCCTCGCCGGAGTGCCGCCGTCCGGTCACCGGACCGCCGCCGCCGACCGCCATGCACGGTGGTCGGAAATTCAAATCATCACCAAAATTAACAAACAATCTATCATTTTATTTGTTTCGATGAGAGGATCATTAATATGTATTCAAATCAAGGTGGGTACGAACTATTTGGCCGGAAATTGATCGGAAAGGTTCGGTGATACCCATTTTGGTTTGGGTTTTCCGATTCCGGCGTATTTCAGTCGACGAGGAGGCCATCAAATTAAAGAGAAAGAAGAGAGGAGTCGACGAGGAGGCCATCAAATGAAAGAGGAAGAAGAGAGGAGTCATTTGGTACTCACCTTGCGCTCTAGACTTGCCTGAAACGGCGTGAATCGCCGGAAAAAAGGTGTCGCTATGGTGCCAAAACTTCAAGCTCTTTCCTTTCAAAATAGATGCAGTTTCAGTTCAAGTCAAAGCCATATTCTTCTTCCTTGCGTTGAGTTGATGTTTTTAGAGTATTCATTTGCCGGATTTGGTGACCGGAGGAAGGAGATCGAAGGAGAGGGAGGAGGAGGAGGAGGTCGTGCAACTGGAGAAGGAGAAGGAAGAAAAGAAAAAGAAAAGAAAAGAAATGGGCAGGTCCGGTTCGATTCGAACCGGTTCTGTCCGATTCAGTGATTTGGTCTCATTTCATTTGGTTTATGAGTTTTTCGCTCGGTTTTCCGATTATTCGTGTGGTTTCGACACAGTTAATTTGATTTTTAGGTCCGATTTAATTTATTTAATTATTTAGTTGGGTCATAAAACATCTCTTCAAGTTACGTTCTAATAGTACAACAAATAATAATAACAATAAATTTAGGATAATTAGTTTATATCGTAGAGTTCCATTTTATTTCATCGAAATTTCCGAACGTTCTGTTTTTGGGCTTGGGCCCAATTCAAAGGCCTTTCAGTTAGAAATGCTCGGTCTTCACAACCCATTACTATAAAAACAAAAATTCGGATTTTTGATTTAATAAAAATTCTAAAAGGTTTTGAAAATAAAAATTCGGGATATTACAATCTCCCCCCTTAGAACCAATTCGTCCTCGAATTGAATCTAGTGGAAAGAATAAGACAATGGAAAGAATAAGAATGGATGCATGGGAAATTTTAAAGTTATATGAAATTGCTTCCAATACCAAGGAGACAGCTCGCGAGCAAAAATATAAATCGAGGAAATGAAGTGAATGAGGTATTTTGCTTGTATTTCTACCACCAATCATATTTAAACCAAAATTTCGTTCAAGCTAGACAATACCACCTAGCTGATACTTATAGGAAGCTTTGTTACTTTAGCCTCCAAACTATCATCGGACAGTTGCTAGAAAATCTTTCTTTAAATAAAAATCTTACAATTAACCGAGCTTTACAACAAAATGCTTAATACTTATATTTTTCCCAAATTAAATTTTATTACACATTTCTTTATGAAAACCAAATAGTAATTGCAAAAAGTTAAAACAATTTGAAATTAATTTGATTTATTTATTTAACATATTTATGACGAAATCTTTGCTTAATCAAAGTCGAAAAACTGTTACTTTAATCCAAGATTTTAAAGAAAAATTTTTCTTTGAAATTTTCATTTGTCTACAGGGTTATCGAGCTCACTCTCAGTTCTTTATACAAGTTCTATTCTTGTTAAAATACTTTTATCGTGTACCCACTAGCGCAATTATTAAATAGCTCATTACTATGACATTCCTGCACTATTAAGTTATCTTTTAACTCTATAGGAACCTCCACACTTTCTATTTAATCGTAGTCCCTACGGTCTAATCTCATTCCTTATTCTTAACATATATCATTAGAAACCCTAGACACCTTCAATGTTATTTCACGTATGTGCTTACTTAATCATCCTAAGAATATCGAAGCGTAACTTTTAATTATTCCATCTATTATTAATCATCATTTATCTCATTAACAATATTTCATCCCAATACCTTTATTTACTTGCCCCTACTATTTTACCTACATACCTATCAACAAAAAGTCTTCATATAAAGTCTTCAATGAAATTTCTTACATCTCGACTTAATGTTGCCTTACCAGTCAAATATTACATCGAATAAATAAGCATTAATCATTCTACTTCCTTTATTAAATTACGCGTCAACTAAATAATTTATTCGTTTCTATATAGAATTTCAATTTCTGCCTTAATTATGAAATAGTAATAAGGCCCTAATTCATCTTCATATTACATAAGTTAATTGTTTAATTTTTTCCATCCAAGTTTTAAAATATAATATCAATTTATCTATCTCAACTTTTCTTATTTAGTCTAACAAGTTATTTCTAACTTCCTTTAAATACACATTATATTCCATCCATTTGATTTGTTAGATTCATCGTTTAATCCAAAATTCTACTAATGAGTTAACAACGACCGACTAGCTTGACCATTCTATGGGTAACTGGCTATTTAAAAACTTTCAAAATAATTTTCCCTTCCCACTTTAAAAAAAAAATATCGGCATGTCACTCACACAAAACTTTAAAATTCTTGTATCCACTTTTATTTCATTTCAAAACCAATCTCAATCGTGGTATAAAAATATTTTCATGAAGTTTGAAAATCAATACTCATTGTATTTCTAAAACTTTTTGGTA